ACATACAATACACTGCATACATGCACACATGCAATACACTGCACACACACAATACACTGCACACACGCACATGCATGCGTGCACACACACAATACACTGCACATCTGCAAACAAACACACTCACAAATACCCACCCGACACACAGATTAGGAGTAGCACACAGGATTCAAGTGTTTTCTGCAGGCCAGGCATGTCATGTGACTCCATCCCCTTGGTGACACTTCTTTTGTATGGGGACTCTAACTTCACTCCTGATGCATGGAGAAATCAAATCCTCTCCTGGTCAAGGAGCTGGAATAGGGAACTAGTACTCCAGCACAGGGTGCTGCTGACCCAGACCCAAAGGCCTCATCAGGGAACCTGCCAACCATTCTGTTATCAGTCTGCATAAAGCCTGTGTGTGTGCCCGTGAGACTGCAGAGGGCAGCACTGTCTCATTTCTGGCATAGAGAGACTGGGGGCTCTCCTACAGGAAGCCTGCCAGGATTTCTCCCCTCTCCGCTAAGCAAGCTGTTAGAATTCAGAGCCTGCCCCTCTGTTGGGTCTGCAGATACATGGACGCTTGGCAGGTTGGGATGGGAAAAGACAGGTGATTCTGAGAGAGAGACCAAGGTCACAGAGAGGCAGAAGGAAGTCTGGACCTGTCCCTGCCTGGTGAGGGATGAGGGCCACTTTCTTCTCAGGCTTCTCTTCCCAGATTCCAGGCCTAGTGAGAGCTGGAACTTTAGAGGAACATTCTAGACAAACCAGAAAGCATTGTAATCATTTGTTGGGTGTGCCGGCAACCCAGCACATGGGAGGCAGAACCCAGGGCTGGGGGCAGCAAGATGGCTCAGCAAGTAAAGATGTTTGCAGCCAAGCCTGAGGACCTGAGACCCAGGATCCTTATATTGGAGGGGAAAAAACCAACTCCTGTTAGTTGTCCTCTGACCTCTACAGGGGTGCCCATGTAAACATGTATACATATACACACAATAAATAGATATTTTATATACATGTGTATGTGTATGTATATATTCTAGGATAGCCTGGAATAGATAGCAGAGAGAAACAAAGGAGGGAGGGAGGGCAAGCATCCAGACACCAACCTGCCTGTTTGGTGAGCATTGCCATAGCCTTGAGAATGTTCTATGAGTCATGTTCCCACGGTGTAGGGATTTCTGAGTGTGTGTAGCCATTGCCAAGAAAGCTAAAGTGAGGGCTCAGGCAGAGCGGGCAGAGTGTGTATCTGGCATGGTCTGGTTCTGGATCCCATTGTATAAAGCAGGCATTGTGGTGTGAACCTATTATCCCAGTGCTAGGGTGATGTGCCTAGCCAGGAAGAAGTTCAGGGCCAACCTGGGCTACAGGAGACCCTGCCAAGGAAGGGGGATAAAGAGGAAGGGATGGAGGGAGGGAGAAAGGCCTGGACACTTGTATATTAACTCTGCCCTATCCCAGGGGCGAGCCCCTGACCCGGGATGGTTCTGGAAGGTTCTGAGATGTCATGGGAACATGATAACCGTGCCTGCCCTGCTCCTCTTTCCCACAGAGTTGCTGTCTGATTCAGAGGAGGACCAGATATCGTCCAACACCAACAGCTATGACTATGGTGAGGCTGTGTCCTGGACCCACGGGCATAAGGACACCAGGGCCCAGCCTTCCCTGGGCTGAGCTGGGGCTTGGTTTAGGGTCTCTGCTGGGTTGGGAGGGCAGGGGAAGCAAGGGGAATAGGCCGTCCTGGACGAGCCATGCGTGGCTACACCTGACCTGCCTGGACCACACAGGAGATGAATACCGGCCTCTGTTGCTGGGTCAGGAGACCACTGCTCAGATCCTGATTCAAGCCCTGAATCCCTTGGACTACAGAAAGTGGCGGACTCAGTCAGTACCCTTCAGGCTCCTGAAAGTAGCCAAGGTAAGAGAGACCAGGCTCCGAGCTCTTAGCCTTGTGACTGTCATACAGTGTGGGCTCTTGATTTGCTTTGTTTTGAGACAGATTGTCTTAGTTAAGGTTTTACCGATGTGAACAGATACCATGACCAAGACAACTCTTTTTCTTTTTTTTTTTTTGAATTTTTTGTTTTGAAATGAAATAAGACAACCCTTATGAGGACAACATTTAATTGGGGTTGGCTTATAGGTTCAGAGGTTCAGTCCATTATCATCAAGGCAGGAGCATGGCAGCATCCAGGCAGGCATGGTGCAGGAGGAGCTGAGAGTTTTTTTTTTGTTGTTTTTGTTTTTGTTTTTTTGAGACCGGTTTCTCTTTGTAGCCCTGGCTGTCCTGGAACTCACTCTGTAGACCAGGCTGGCCTTGAACTCAGAAATCTGCCTGCCTCTGCCTCCCAAGTGCTGGGATTAAAGGTGTGCGCCACCACTGCCTGGAGAGAGTTCTACGTCTTTATCTGAAGGCTGCTAGTAGAATACTGATTTCCAGGCAGCTAGGATGAGGGTCTTAAAGCCCACACCCACAGTGGCATACTTACTCCAGCAAGGCCACACCCACCCCAAACAGGCCCCTCCCTGGGCCAAGCGCATACAAACGGTCACACAGGTCTTACTTGTGTAGTTCTGGCTGGCCTGGAACTCTAGGTAGATCAAGCTTATCTTGAACTCACAGAGATCTACCTGCCTCTGCTTCCTGAGTCTTGAGGTAAAAGCTAAGTGCCATCATCCCCGGCTGCTGTGTCCCGACAGCTGGAGTCTACTGAAATGCCCTTTTAGTGGCTAGCCTGGGACGTACTGGGGAAACTGAGTTCTCAAGCTTGGCTGGTGACCTGAGCAAGGGCTGTTCGTACTCTATAGAGGAAGAAAGGTGTCTTTCCTGGACAAGAAAACACACCAATGTCCTAGGTAGATTTTAGGCCTCTTTAGTCTCAGGAATAAAGAATGAACTATGTCTCCACCCTGTGGCTGTGATGTCATCTGAGCTCCTGTTTTCTTCAGTATAAAATGGGGATTGTTGGGCTGGGGACATAGCTCGCTGGTAGAACATTTGCCTAACATGCTTGAAGCCCTGGGTCCTATCCCCACACTGCATAAATGGAGTGTGGGGAACATTCCTCTAATCCTGGCTCAGAGGAGGCGGGAGCAGAGATGGGGACAGCATGCACGCACGCAGGCATGGGGCTGAGCCTGCTTGTGGGTGCTTTACAGCAACCTAGCACTCCAGAGTAGGGGAGCATCTGCCGAGCCCCCCACTCCAGCTGACACCCTCCCAATCCCACAGTTGCCTGTGGAGTTCTTGCTGCTGCTCACAGTACCCGTCGTGGACCCCGACAAAGATGATCGGAATTGGAAACGGCCACTCAACTGTCTGCAGCTGGTCATCAGCCCCCTGGTCCTGGTCCTGACACTGCAGTCAGGGGTCTGTGAGTAGCCCTCCGCCACTGCCTCGATCCTCCTCCTCCTCCTCTTCTTCTTCCTTCTCCTCTTCCTCTTTGTCCCCCTTTTCTTCCTCCTCCCCCTCCTCTTTCTCTTCCTCCTCTTCCTTCTCCTCCTCTCCCTCTTCCTCCTCCTTCTCTTCCTCCTCCTCTTCCTTTTCTTCCTCCTCCCCCTCCTCTTCCTTCTCCTCCTCCCCCTCCTCTTCTTCCTCTTTATCCTCCTTCCCTTCTTCCTCCTCCCTCTCCTCTTCCTCCTCTTTTCTTCTCCTTCACCTCTTCCTTCTCTTCTTCCTCCTTCTCCTCTTCCTCCTCCCCTCCTCCTTCTTCTCTTCCCCCTCCTCTTTCTCCTTTTTCTCCTACTCCTCTCCTCCTCCTCTTCCTCTTCCTCCTATCCCAGAGTCTCATCAGAACAGGGCACGCTCATCCAAGAGTCTTCCCTATCATTGGCCTGTAGATGGAGCTATAGACAGGTGGCCCTAGGGCCAAGTCCTGCCCTCTACCCATCAAAGGCTTTCATAGGGCTGTGGGATGGGTGGGGACAGAGATAGAGCACCTGCCTAGCACCTGGGGCGCTGGATTTCATCTCCAGTTCTACTTATAAGAAAATTTACAGAACTAGGTTTCTCTTCGAGTGGTACCAAACTCCTCTAATCAACCCCAGCACTCGAGAGACAGAAGCAGGTGGACCTCTGATTTTGAAGCCAGCCTGGTCTACACAGTGAGTTCCAGGATAGCCAGAACTATCAGTGAGACCCTGTCTTTAAAAAAAAATTACAGAATTTGAGATTTCACACTAAATCTCCCAGGTTTATCATCTTGAGATCTGGACCTGAGTCCTGAAGGAAAACCTGGCAGAATCCAGAGATGGCTCCTGAATGAGTGTAGGCAGCGCATGTAAACCCAAGAACCCTCCATTGCCCTCAGAATGACTTGCCGGCCCCACCACGCTGGCTTTCCCCATCGGTCCCGGAATGGCAATTTCATTTTTGCCTTGTTTTGGCAGAAGAGCACACAGACTCACCAGGCGCTTTCTGGTTTCACCCCGATTTTTTCTTATGTTCCGAGGTAACACACACCTCATTTCTCTCTTCTGACACCTCTGCTCAACCCAAGGTTGGTGGGATGGGAACCTGTGGCCAAAGTCATGGGTGCGCATCACGTGACTTTTCTGCCAGGGTGAACCCAGAACCACATTTGTGTGATGCGTGCCCCAGTTTACAGAAGGATGTAAGGAAGGGATCGGAGGGAGGCAGGTGGGAGTACCTGGGATCCTGGTCCCTTGCAGCTTCTGTCCATTAGGGCCCTGCCTCCCATCAGGGGAAGTCTGGAGCCTACTTTACAGTCAGGGCTTTCTAAGATGGAACCCAGGGCCTCACACAACTAAGTGTGGAACACGCCACAGCTCTCACTTTTTATTTTATTTCATTTTATTTTATTTTATTTTTTTAATGTGCATTGGTGTTTTGCCTGCATGTGTGTCTGTGTGAGGGTGCCAGATATCCCGGAATTGGGCTTACAGATAGTTGTGAGCTGTCATGTGGGTGCTGGGAATTGAACCTGGGTCCTCTGGAAGAGGAGCAGCCAGTGTTCTTAACCACTGAGCCATCTCTCCAGCCCCTCACTTTTTTTTTTTTTTAAATTTTAGATAGTCTCAGTAGGTACCCCAGACTGTCCTTGAACTCACTACAAGGCAGAGGATGACCATAAACTTCCCGATCTTTCTGCCTCCGTCTCCCGAGAGCTGAGATTGCAGGCGTGTACCACCGTGTCTGGTTTATGTGATACTGGAGAAAGAACTCAGGCTTTGTGCATGCTAGGTGCTCTGTCTGCAAAGCCAGATGCTCCCTCAGCATGCTGTGCCACGCCCTGCCCCCTTTCTGGCATTTTTGAGACAATGTTTCATTTATATCATGACGGGCCTTCAACTCTCTACTTAGCTGAGACCAGCCTTGAACTTCTGAACTTACTCTGCGTCAATGTGGGGGCTGGCGGGAGGAAGTGGGGAGCCAAGCCTGGGGGATCCCAGTTCCCTTTCTTGCCCCACAGATGGCGTCTATGAGATTGGTGGCCTACTTCCTGTCTGGGTTGTGGTGGTGATCGCGGGCACAGCCCTGGCTTCAGTGACCTTCTTTGCCACATCTAACAAAGAACCTCCTAGGCTGCACCGGGTAAGAACTGGCAGCCTCTGATGGGTGGCCTGGGTGTGTTTCTGTCCTGTAGGTGAGCCAAAGCCCAAGCCATTTGCCTGTTTGGGCTTCTTTTCACTTTGAGGTGAATTAGGCTTAATTTTATTGAGATATTACTCACATACTTTTCAGTTTTTATGTTTTGGGGTTTTTTGTTTGTTTGTTTGTTTGTTTGCTCCCTTATTTTTTTTGTGTGTGTTTTAGATTTATTTATTTTTATGTGTATGACTGTTTGGCTTGCATGTGTGTCTGCGCACACCATGTGCGTGCCTGGTACCCTAAGAGGACAGAAGAGGGCGCTGGATCCCCGGCAACAGGACTTACCTACAGTTATGGGCCACCCAATGTGGGTACCAGGAACTGACCCAGATCCTCTGCAGGAGCAGCAAGTGCTCTTAACCGCAGAGCCAACCCTTCCAGCCCCTGCTTTCTGCTTTTTTGACCTTACGTAGCCGAGAATAACCTTGAACTCATGATCCCCCTGCCTCCGACTCCCAGGGCTGGGATTAGGTGTGGTTGTGTTTCCGGGTGCTGAGGCTAGAACTCAGGGTTCAAGCACACTAGGCCACTGCTCTACTGAGCTGTGCCCAAGCGCCAATGGGTTGGTTTCTCTCCTTCAGAGTTGTGTGAGCAGTGTCAGGCCATCTCACCCCCTCAGAACTGTGTGCCTGGTAGCCTTGGCCTCACCAGCCCCTGCAACCTGTTTTCTCTCTGTCTGGATTTGCCTATTCTGGATCTTTCTTCTCCTTCTTTCTTTCTTTCTTTTTCTTTCTTTCTCTCTTTCTTTTTTTTTGTTTGTTTTTTGTTTTTTGTTTTTTCCAGACAGGGTTTCTCTGTGCAGCCCTGGCTGTCCTGGAACTCACTCTGTAGGCCAGGCTGGCCTCGAACTCAGACATCCACCTGCCTTTCTTCTTTCTTTAAAAGAAGAAATATTTCTTTTCTTTTTTTTTTTTTTTTTTCTCGAGACAGGGTTTCTCTTTATAGCCCAGGCTGTCCTGGAACTCACTCTGTAGACCAGGCTGGCCTCGAACTCAGAAATCTGCCTGCCTCTGCCTCCCAAGTGCTGTCACTGCCCGGCTGAAATATTTCTTTTTATCGCATGCATGCAAGGCATCATGGTGTGTTTGTGGAGGTCAGAGATAACCTGTGGAAGTTGGCTTTTTCCTTCCACTTTGTGGACTTGGAAGACTGAGTGTCGCATGTCAGACTTGAGAGCAAGTTCCTTTGTTCATCCTCCGTCCATCAGTCTGTACCTCTATCTGTCCGTCTGTCCCTCCCTCCCTCTATCCACCCATCCTTCCCTTCTTTGTGGTACAAGACAAGAATTTACCACTCAGCCATATCCTCAGCCCTCTTTTGGGGTCTTGCTAAGCAAGCTGGATTCGAACTTGAGACACTCCTACCTAGGCCGCTCTGCAGTGCCCATCACACCCCAGCTGTGTTGGACATCGAGGGCATCATAGTAGACCGTGCCTTTCATGTCTGGTCTCTTTTGATGGCAGTTGTGTCTGTAAGGGCCATCCCTGATCTCATGTGTAGCTCCTTCCTTTTCTGAAGAAAGCTGCGCTGGGATGGCGCCCAGGGCCTCAGGCCTGCCAGCGAGCATCTCTCAAGCCCAGCCCCTTTCCTCTGTCTGGGTCCCACCACCTTTGCTACTCTGCCACTGGGTCAACACACACACACACACATACACACACCCCCTGATATGGGTTATAGGTACCTCCTTCCCAGTTTACAGATAGGATCCCCATTCTCTCCTCAGCTCTTTGCTTTCCTGGGTTTCCTGACCAGCGCCCTGTGGATCAATGCAGCTGCCACGGAGGTGGTGAACATCTTGCGGTCCCTGGGTGTGGTCTTCCGTCTGAGCAACACCGTCCTAGGGCTGACCCTCCTGACCTGGGGGAACAGCATTGGAGGTAACTTGGATCTTGGTGGGTGGCTCTTCTCTTCCCTAGCCATACTCATAGCTAGAGAGGACATCCAGGGTGTGCTTCCTCTGCACCAGCGGGGTGCCCGCTGTCACTTTTGAGTGACACTAGGAGTCTGAGGGAGCGTGTCACTAAACCACCACTGGACTGGAACATCCTATAGAGTCTTTCCTAGTTTGATGTTTGAGACGCTCAGCAGATCCCCAGAGTTCAGGAAGGATGTGAAACCCATTACAGCCAACCATGTTTAATGTGTGTGTGTGTGTGTGTGTGTGTGTGTGTGTGTGTGTCCACAGGAGCCAGTTATGGTTGGCCAGGTTACACACCGAACAGGACCATTCTAGCATGGACCTGGGAGTCTAGAATCTAGCTGTTCTCAGTTTAGCTCTTTGAGCATCTTACCTAAAGCACACAAAGATGCCATGAGAGCTTGTGGGGTACAGTGCTACACCCCCTAAGGGAGGTGGGGCTTTATCCTTGTTTGTCGACTGACTAGTTATGTAAACAGGAACCTGCCCCTCACACCGAGTTCTCTCTGTGCAGATGCGTTCTCAGATTTCACGCTGGCCCGCCAGGGATACCCTCGGATGGCCTTCGCTGCCTGTTTCGGCGGCATCATCTTCAGTATCCTTTGCGGGGCTTCTCTGAGACCCTCCTGTGGTGTCTCGGCTCTTGAGAGCCTCTGGTGGACTCTGAGCACCCCACCCTTGGGACAGGCCAGGGACCTGTGGCTTCACTTTTGTATTTGTGGACGGGATATTGAGATTCCAATCTTGTGAGACTCTTGTGACAGCCTCAGGTTAGTACAAAGGAAGCAACCTGGAGTGAGCCCTAGCCTGTCCCATCCTTCTGTAAGGCACAGGGGTGTGGTCACTTAGTCTCAGTTTCCCCCAACTGCTGAGTCCTCACAGGTATCAGGCATATCTGACACTCCCTTTGACCTCCATAGGCCGAGGGCGAACTGGTTTTTTGATACCCAGTTTATTAGAGTTATTCACACTGAGGCCCAGGGAGGGTGGCTATGGACAGTGAAGAAGCCTGTGTGCTGAGGGGCCTCTGAGCCCAGGGCTGGAGTTGAGCCGCCATGAGGTAGGGCTGCAGGGTTGAGCGTGGTCTCCAGCAAAGCTTCCTGAACCTACGGCAGACCTCCTAGTTGGTGTGGGGCTGGGCTGCTTGCTGCAGATCGTCCAGAACCATGCTGCGGAGGTGAAGGTCAGTAGTGGGATGGCAGAATATCTTGAAAATATTTTGCATGGGGGGTTGGAAGGCGTTTCCCTGCAAGCAGGACAAAGTAACTGAGACACAGCCTGCGTGGAATGGGCGGGTGGCCTGAGGCTTCGGTCCTGGGCCCGTGACTGAAATCTTCCCTATGTAACTGGGTGGGGTGTCTCTGGGCTTTGCCAGCGATGTGGAGTGATAGATAACACATCCCGACTTCCTGGATGGCTCCAGGGAGGAGCTGGAATAAGATGGGGTGGGGTCCAGTATACTAAGGGAGGGGTTTTAAACACCCAGGATAGCCTGGGTTCTTGTGTTCTGGGACGTGGAGTCTGGGAATCTGCCATTTGTGCAAACCGGCAGAGTCAAATCTGTGGCTCACACAGGCTAAGCATCATACCATCACTGCACCCCTAACCCTGGAACCTGCTCTGCGTGTGTGTGTGTGTGTGTGTGTGTGTGTGTGTACAGTTATACACACCTGCACGGACACAGAAACTGACAGCCGTCATTGAGTGACCTCCAGTGACTTTCTTCCTCAATCGCTCCAAACGGGGAGCTAGCTCACTGAACCTGGAGCTCAATGATTCTGGGTTAGGCTAGTGGCCATCATCACCAGGAGCAATCCTTCTGTCTCCACCCCTTAGTGCTGCAGTGGTTACAGGCATGTTAGGAGATCCAAACCCAGGGTCATCCTGTTTGTTCAGCGAGAATTTTTTTTTTCTCTTTTTACCAACTGATCCATTTCTGGCCACCCTTCCTGTTTTTGATACCGACTCTCGTTTAGCCGGGCAAACACACTTGTATCTGCATTTTAAACAAGATTCTCTGGGGCCAGTATATGTTATACAAGGGATTCTGCTTAAGAAACTCCCCTCAGAGGCTGGAAAACTCCAAAAGACAGGGCTAGACAACCAGTACAGGCATGTGAGCCTCCTCAGACGAGACACGCACCCCTACTCCCCAACCCTGATGTCAAGGCAGGATACCTTGGTGACATTATACAGGAAGATGTTGCACAAAGCAAACAAACCCAGCACACCCAGTGTTAAATGTTGGGTCCTGCACCTGGAGCCACTGTTACAGAGAAGTCAGGCCTGGTAAAGAAGGGCGGGACACACAAGCAAGCACCGGACAGACAGCAAGCACCAAACACATGCGCTCATTCACACAACTGTCATTTCTTCGACTCCACCATTCAAACACGGAAGGGCTGAAAGATGTGTCTAAGGGGCACTTCCATACCCAGCCCAGGGCCTCTTACACCCTGCTCTGCTCGCTTCCTGAGTCTTGTCTGCACAGTGATCTCTGGATGCAGGATCACGTCCATGGCTACGTAAAAGTCCATGCTACGTAGCCGTATGCAGCCAGAGCCACACATGGTACACATTTATAATCCCAGTACATAGAAGACTGAGGCAGGAGGATTGGCCCAAGTTCAAAGCCAGACTAAGCTATAGGGCAGGGTCGTTGGGTGACTGAAGTTGTGGCTCAGTTAGTAGGGTGTTTGCCTAGCATGCGTGAAGCCTTGGGTTTGAATCCCCAGCACCCCCTAAAATAGGGCGTGGAAACCGAGTCTTGATGGTCCACGTGGCAGACCCCCATAGTTGTATACCAAGGACCCAACAGCCCCTTCATGGTGCACGTGGCCCAGAAGGCTTCCAGGGTGGGTACTGAACAATTCCTATTCTCCACACAGCTGGAGCCAGACGGACTGCTGGTGTGGGTGCTGGCCAGTGCCCTGGGCCTCAGCCTGGTCTTCTCCCTGGTCTCCGTTCCGCTTCAGTGTTTCCAGCTCACCAAGGCCTATGGCCTCTGTCTCCTCCTCTTCTATTTCTGTTTCCTCATCGTGGTCCTACTCACAGAATTCGGGGTGATTCACTTGAAGAAGGTCTGACTGAAGCTGCTTTGGCCTGGAGGTTTGGGGGGTGATTCTGTTAGCCTTCTGAGGGGAGAACAGGAGTGGGACCCTCTGTGGTTCCCATGTAGCTCCCAAGAAGGTAGTCTGTCACCGCCAGAGCTCTGCATGGATGGGAATGTCCTGACTGCCGCCACCCAACAGCCTTAGTGTGAGATCTGGAGGCTGGCTTTGCTGGGGACAATCCCAGGTGGGAATGACGGGATCTGAATGACAGCGAGGCTCTGGGGAGGGCAGCCCTGTGGCTCTGTCAAAGGCTCTTCCAGTCTCAGCGGGGTCAGCTGAATCCTGCGCACCAGCAGGGTGGCCTGAACAGACTCCACACGCACGTGGAAACCAAAATGGGTTTCTCAGGCTCCGTGTTAGGTCAGCTAGAGGAAATAATAGGTCAAGTTGACAGCAGCGGGCACTGCCCTTCCCGGTCGGTGGCTGCCGTGTTGGACTGTGGATCTAAACACTTGTAGAACTTTGTGTTCCAAACTCTGGCTCCCCCATCACAAAAACAGGAGCCAGCCTGGGCCCTGTGCCTACCTCAAGGGGAGCTGGGGTTGGTGGTTGAGGGAGTCTTGCAAGTGGTGTGACCAGCCTTTTAAAAAAAAAAGTGCCACTCATTCCCTTACTGCCTTTGGCTGTATCTAAGAGACTTGACTGTTGTTTGTTGTTCCCCAAAATAAAAGACGAGTTATTTCAAGTGTACCAAGAGAGTCCCACAAGTCTCATGGGTTTTTTGCCTGGGCAGGTGAACTTAAGGCTGGGGTGTGTGTGTGTGTGACGTGGGGTCAGTAGTGTCCCACCCACCAACAAGCTGGAAGTCAAAGGCTGCAGCCGTGTCTATAAAGCAGAGGGTCTTTATTGGCACACCAGAAATCTGGGCACAGTGGGCTCCTAGGTAACAAATCACTGTATAAAACCTTCCGACGACGACGAAGAAGCTCTTAACGCATACAAAATGATTGTCTGCACGGTGTGTGGAGTAAGTAAGGCTGGGGTGGGGGAGGAGAAGGAGGAAGGGGCCAGACACTGCTCCCACAGACTGTCTCATCCCTAGTGGGGGAGAAGGCGTGGTTCCATAGCTGGCCCTGCTGGGCTGTGATTCAGAGCCACCATTCCCACTCAGCCGAATTGAGGGAAGGGCCATCTGGGTTAGATAGGATCCCAGGAGGGTCTCAGCTTACAGCCCTGGGTGACAGTCTGTTCCCTGCTCGGCTAGCAAGTTTGAGGGTCAGCTTGGTGTGTGCTCAAGGTGACTCTGTGGGGACAGGTTTTCTCAGGCTCCGTGACAGGCTGCAGTTTGACCCGACAGCCTTATCTCTCTCAGGCACCTGGCTGGTACGTGCTAAACCCAGGGGTTTTAGTATCTCTACATCAGGTCCCAAGTCCGGTCCCTCCACCTGAGCCTGCTCCCCTAGGGAGGAACTTGGGGTAGAGGAAGGGCCTAGAACCAAGCTGGATACTCAGAGGTCCCAAGCCCTCTTTATAGGCCTCTCCTCTTTCTGCTTCCAAAATGGTGCTCATACACAGAAGCTAAGGCAGCCAACTACGTAAATGGCATGACGCTGCTTCTCAGGGCTGTGGCCTAGAGTCCAGGTTGAGATCCCATAGAGGCCAAGAGCTCTTTGAAGTGGAAGGGACTTTGCCAGTCTCCTGACTGTGGTTTTCCTGGAGGGTGTTGGGGGGAGGGTGGGGGTGGGGGCTGTGCTTTATTTAAAAGTAAAAACATCCACTTTCCAGCTTGGCCCCTGGTTCAGCAGCTGGGAGACCAGGAGGGGACCTGTGTCCACCCACTCCAACTCCCAAGCAATAGCAGGTTTGGAAGGCCAGTTTAGCAGGGGTATCAGGCAACTTCTGGCAACCCTGCCCATCTTCAGCCCCTTTTGGACAAGACAGTAGGATGAAGTGGCCAGGGCTCCATCCCTCTGCCACCGCACTACCCAGCCACCACCTTGTGGTGGCTTCAAAAGAACTCCCACAAGGCACCGCACAAGGCGGCTGACCAGTCTCCCTCCTCCCCAACCCACCTAGCTTATGAGAACTCTGGAAGAGGCCACTACTCATTGGGCCTCAGAGTCCTTGAAACGCAGCTACCCATGGTGTGGTGGCAAGCTAGGGACTGCTGTGCTGGGCAGTAAGTGTCCCTGTGCTGTGTGTGGCTTCCTCCCCAAACACAGCATCTACTGTAAGAAGGTGTGGGGTGAGGGAGGCTGCCTTCTGCACCACATCACAGGAACTCTCCTGAGCAAGTCAGATTCCCAGGGCCTAGAGCTGGCTTTCTCCTGCCGGGAGAGCTTCCCCTGGGAGGCTGTGGTAGGTTGTTGTTTCAGCAACAAGAAAGGACTGGAAGCCTGAGGGTATTTGCTGCTGTTTCCAGCCATCTCTGGCCTCTGTCAGCTTCCACTGGGTCCCGGGCACTGATCCCTCAAGGGAACCTTCTAACACTTTGTCATCCACGGGTGCCATCCTGCAGGATGTGGGGTTTCTTCCTAGTGGTTTTGTCCCTAACACCAGACACAGACACCTGTGGTGGCCTGGGGACAGGTAGGGAAGCCCGAGGCCACAGCAGGGACGCAGTCAAGGTCCCCCAGGAAAGCCAGCATTGCTAACATGAGACAGCCTATTTAAGGAGCTTCTTGAGCAGAGGGCTTCCAGAGTTTTCCACAGTAGGAAGATCTCAGCCAGGCCTGGGCCTCCAGCCTAAGCCGATCTCTGGAGGTCAGGAAGACAGAGCGAGGTGGTTCGAACGGACCCTGGCTTAGTCCCTTTCTGTCTCTGTGTAAATATGTGCATATATATGAGTGTGTCTACATACACACATGGTTTCCATACATCGTAGTACATAATACTATGGTGTTATTGCATAGAAGAGGCTGGCATGATGAAACCCGGCTAGGTGATGGTCTGGGAGCGCTGGCGACTGCCAGGGGTCTGCTGGGCTGCAGGGCCAGGCACACTGCCCCTGAGCTGCTTCTCCTGTTCCCGGGCATGCTCCTCGTACCACTCCTAGAGAAGAGGTGGGTGCTGCTGAGGGTGGCTCACCTGCCAAGTCTCCCGCTCCCCCAGCTGATGTGATGTCCCCGGAGGGACTGCGGAAGAACCTCTGCTTGGGGGAGGACAGCAGAGCCAGGCCCACACAGGCTCTTGGAGGAGGCCAGGTCCCAGGCTCAGACATGGCTGCTGCCGCCTTCCACTGGGCCACAGGGACATCTTTCAGAAACTCACAGCCACTTACCTCCCAGCTTCCCCGGAAATCCAGGTGCTCCCAGGGTCTGGGGCACTCTGGTGGGGCAAGCATTAAACAGCTCCCCTATATTTAAAGAAACAGTACCCAAGCCACAGACCTTAAGTCAGAGCTTAAAGAATTCTCCAGGGACAGCCTGAGGCTATGCCCTCATTAGCAGAGGGGAAACTGACAGCAGAGGGGCTGGGCAGGCTGGGAGCGGTGCCTGGAGTGCTCCTGGGCAGTTGCCCACTGCTCTGCCTGTTCTGTCACTTGGGGTGGGGTCTGTCAGTGACACCAAGGCTCAGTGGCCTCCACCTATGTAAGGGAGCCAACAAAAACGCCTTGTGATAATGAAGCTGCTGCCGAGGAAGTCCCAGAGACCCCAGAGGATCCACAGGGGGCACCGCCCTCCAAGGGTCAGCATGGCTGTGCAGTGGACAGGATGGGAGAGAGACCACCCAGGAATGCAGCAAAGTATCAGAAGACGCATCAGCATCGAGGCTGCCAAGGGCCTTGGTCCTGAGTCCCAAGGAGGACATGGAGCCTTCCCGAGCCTCCACCAGAAGGGCACCTCCCGGGGCGCTGCCCCTACCTGGATCTCCTCCTGGTACATCTTCAGACTCAGGTCGCTTTTGGTTCTCGATCGACGTCCCAGAAACACCATGGAATTTTGCTACGGAGGAACGGGAGTCCATGACGCATGCGTGGCTGCAGGTGGTATGGACTCACCTGGGGCTGGGCCTACCCCACTGAGGGTTCTGCAAGGGTGCCACGTGGCAGGCCCCGCCCCCTTGGCGGCTGCGGAGCCCGTGGCTCCTTACCTGGTATTTCTCCATCTGGGAGAGCGTGTCGAGCAGCCGGGTGACGTCAGAGGAGGTGCCTCGCACCTCTCGGTAAAGCTCCAGGATGGCCAGAAGCTCCTCCTTGGACATTTCCTTCTCGATGACGATGCCACTGTCCACTGAGGGTGGGGAGAGCCAGGTCCCATAGCTGCTTTCCTCTACTGTGGAGTCTGATCTTCTCTCCCAAGCAGTGTTCCCTCCTCCCCCTCCCCTCACTAACAGGGTGTGTACGTCAGGAAAGTACTATGTCTAGCCTACGGCTTACGGGGACATGGGGCATCAGGGAGAGCAGAGTGTGGTAATCTCAGTATTAAGAGTATGGAGACTGAATGGACCACCTCAAGACCAGCCTTCGCTGCCTAGCAAGTCTGAGGCCAGCCTGGGCTACATGAGCACCTATCTCACAGAGAGGGCTTGAAGAGAAAGTGTCCAAGAAAATAGAAAAGCATCAGGTGGGGCTGGAGAGATGGCTCAGTGGTTAAGAACTCTGACTGCTCTTCCAGAGGTCCTGAGTTCAATTCCCAGCAACCACATGGTGGCTCACAACCATCTGTAATGGGATCTGAGGTCCTTTTCTGGTGTGTCTGAAGACAGCGACAGTGTGCTCATGTAAATAAAAATGAAAAAAAATATATTAAAAAAAAGAATCGGTAGGAATGGGAAGTCTGATCTGATGTGCGTTTCCTTCCCTTTCTTCAGTTCGGGGTTGCAATCCAGGGCTTGGTACGTGCACAGCACGTAAACACTGAGCTGCCACTCAGCTAAGAATGGACAGGCAGGAAGCGGCGGGGACAGCCAGGCCACTGGGCTGCAGAAGGGACATTGTTCACCTCTACGGTGAGCTGCTCACGGCTGGAATAGGGACCTGTGGTGGTCTGAGTGTATTACAAAGAAGCAAGGCTGCACCGAAGGCTCACACCGGGAGTTGCTGGCTGTAGTGTGTTACAGGGAAAACGTGGCACCGGCTGACAGGACTAGCTGTCCCACTGTCCTGTGCCGGTCAGAGTCTGTACAGGGTTGGAAGGGAGAGGAAGGGCTCCTCCTCCCACAGCCTTTCCCGCTCAGGATGAAGGGATGGCGGCTACTTGTTATACTTTTAGAAACTGTGGGCATTTTTCCATGAGGTGTCTAACAATGGATATAAATGAGGTCTGGACAGACAAGGCAGACGCAAAAGCGGAGCTACCGCAGTTGAGACCGCAGGCCTGGGGATGGCCAGCGGGCAGCCAGCGCTCGGGGCGGGACACCCGTACAGACCTTCCGAGTCCTGACTCTTGCGGTTGTAGTTCATGCGGAAGACGAAGGCCTCCAGGATGAAGGCCACGATAATGGTCATCACCACCTGGCCAGAGGAGAGGCAGTGTGGGGGTCGCGGCCCTTCCTCTTGGGCACTGCAGCCCCGGGAAAGAGAATGGGCGGGGGAAGAGAATGGCTGTGGCGACACCTACCATGGTCACGATGTAAAAGGTCATGAAGTACAGGCGACTCCAGTGGGAGGTCTGTGAGGTGACGCCTTCCTGGAGGGGGAGGGAGGGAGTGAGCTCATGGGCAGCGTGGACCACTGTCTCCTGAGTCTGTCAGCCCAGGCCCAAAGCCAGGTGACACTCGGCTCTTCCCTGGCCCTCCCTGTGGGCAAGGGGCCCTGGGGAGGGGGCTCTTGCTCCTCGGATCTGAGCATTCCTTCCGTAGCATCAGATCCCAGCCCTCTCCATCATGGCTGACTGGAACCCAGGTCAGCACAGAGAGTCTTCAGCTGAAGAGGATTTAAGGAACTCGGGGGAAGAAGGCCCCTCCCTCCCATATTCTCTTTGCTTTATTTTAGAGACAGTTCTGTGGACTAAAGCGATTCTCCTGCCTCAGCCTCCCAAGCAGCTGACACTACGGGTTCATACCACAGGGCCTGCCATGGCATACTGCTGACCAACAGTCAGATACCCAGAGGCTGTCAGGGGGCGCAGGGAGGGGAGACAGCCAGCAGCACAGAGCTGAGGGGTGGTGCCACCCACACTGGGGAGTCTTCCATTAGAGCATGATAAAAGACCACACATCCTGAAGGAACGGGAAGAGAAATGGCTCCTGGGCCCTGAGAGAGGATGGGGGTGGGGGCAGAGCTTACCATGATGATGTACCAATTGTTGACAACGGTGAGTTCAAACAAGGTCACTGCAGGGGAAGTGAGGGTATGCCTCAGACCAATGTCAAAGGACCACTCTGTCCCTGAGTAACTGCTTGCAAGGAGGCCTGTCACCCAACCTCTCCTCCAAAAGACATATCCTTTGATGAAAGAGTCCTTGGTGGGCTAACTCTGGCTAAGGCTACCAGCAAGGAGAGAGCAACAGACTTTACTGGGTGTAGAGCCCCAAGAGGGGCTCTCCCTTCCCTCGAGAGGCCAGTCCAGCATGGGGATATCCTCCCCTCATCTGGCTTTTGCAAGGAACCAGGGAGCAGAGAGGAGCCCCAGGACCTCCGTCAGGGGCTGCATAACTACCCTAATGGCAGTGGTGTGCTGGGTCCCCTCTGCTGGCACTGAGGCACGCCATGCTGACACAGCAGGCCTCCAGCTAGGGCCTCTTATGTCTCTGTCGCTGTGAGCTCTGGGGCCTGGGCGAGCCTGGATCCGCCTGTTCTACAGTCCCACAGCACCGCTGTAGAAGGGACCCCAGGAAGGGCACCCAGTGGCTGTGGAGGGAGGCTTTACAAAGCTCTGAGCCGGACCAAGGCCGGGAGTACCGTCTAGGTTCTCACCGAAGCTGTTGAGGACGTTGTCAAAGTTGTTGAGATAGTAGTAGCCCTCCTCCACCTTGGTCTTATTGCCCACCGTGTGATTGATGAATCGGTAGGAGTCGGCCACCGTGCTGGAGCTGACGAGGGGGACAAGAGGGCAGGAGGGTTACAAGATGACTGACCGCCTTCACTGGGACAAGCATGGAAACCGAGGTCCGCCTAGGGGTGTCCTTGCCTGTCCGAGCCATCTATATCCCACCCCATGCACCGTTACTGGGCATGTCTATAACCTGCAGAGGAGGAGGCGGAGGTGGTGAGAGATGGGGGCCTCCTCCGCCTTCCCAGGCTCCTCTGGGGCACTACCCGTGCATCCCCGCTTTGGCTCAGCTGCTCCACGTGGAGGGGACTGTGTTGGTCACACTCCAGCTTCATACTCTTCTGCCATTTGTAAGAGTTAGGTGCCCACGACACCAGGGAGCTCACTAGCAAGGCTATGCCCTGTGTCCCGGGCCTGAGAGGTACTGCCAAGGTATGGTGACCACTGTTATGGACTCTTGGTGCAGCCATCAGCTGGATACATACGAGGGTCACTGGTGACCTGTCATCGCCCAAGGCTGTGGGGGCAGTCGTAGCTGGACACAGTGATGGTGGGTCGTGCTCTTTTCCTTTTAGACGGGAAGGGAGGGACGGGAGGGGAGGGGGAGGGGCACCCTCGCTGTTCATCCCTCAGCCCTGCCACCTTCTTGCCACGTGTCATCTCTCTGGTCTCTTGCCAGGTCTCATTGTTTCCTGGGGTGTATCAGGGGTAAGGGTTGCTCTGGTTCTGGGGAGGAGGAGGTGTGTCGACCGAGGCCTGAGCCCTGCTAGGGATGGCCGATGCTGGCTTTCACACTGTCACTCTGTGTGCCCAGCCTAGCAGCAAAGCCACCGGGAGCCACTTACTTGCAACAGTTGGGAGTCAGCCGCCCGTTGAAGAACTCCATGCCCACGATGGCAAAGGAGTAGTAGAAGGTGAGTAGCGTGAGGCCGAGGCTGGGGAGGCAGAGGGACAGGGTCATCAGGATGGGACGGAGGGGACGGGGCAGTTGCATCGTGTCCTGGTCCCCCGGCACTGACTGCGGGAGGCATGCCCCTAGCCCTGGCCAAGTGACCATCACCAAGTGTCTGCAGGGGAGGGGCCGTGTGGCTCATTGTGGGGGACGCTAGGGACAGATGCCTCTTGACCAGAGATGCACCCCTTACCTGTGAAGGTAGGCTCACAGGTGACCCCTTACCTGTGAACGTAGACACAGGTGGTGAGTCGACAGCTCCCTGCCCTCCCCACTAGACAATTCAGCCAGCGCTGCCGAGGGGGACCTGCAGGGTCCAGAGTCTGTCTCTTTGAAGACCACCCCCCAAGCCCCTGAATCCGGCCTTCCTGAGATTCCTCCTGGTTCCCCTTCCCCGAACCCCTACCCGAGCCTCATACGGCCTGGACCTGCAGGCCGAGAGGCAGGCAGTACCTGGCCATTCGCGGCAGCAGCTCGAACATGGTGTCCAACACATTGCGGTAGCGTTTCTTCAGTTTAAATAACCTGAATAAGGAGAACAACATTGCTGGGACCGCAGAAGCAGGGAGGGGCAAGGCCACACAACCCCTTCCTCAGGATTGGTCGGAATCTTGTAAGCCCTCCTCTTCCCCACGTCAAGACAAGGCTGAGAAACCTTGCACAGCTGAGCTCACTTCCCTTGGGGACTCATAGACTGTGGCACTGGATGGGACAGACCTGGGACACTGGGGGCAGGCCAAGACTCTCTGAGGAGCCATAGACTGGGCTAGCCTCATCATGAGGTTTTTAAAAAGCAGCAAGTCCCCCACTGGAGTGGAGAGAAGCCAGCAGCTCAGATAACATGACAAGTTCAGGAAAGGGGGTGCATAATCAGACAAGCTCAGGAAAAGGGGTGCACAATCAATCAATCCATCAACAGCTCTCGTTGGCCTGGAAGGAATGGCAGAGTGGGGGCATGGTAGGTAGACACGGCAGCCCTGACTCCTGAGTCTCCAAGAGCTCAAGCCCTGAGGCACACAGGTAAGTGGGACCCCACTGGGACCTGAAAAAGCTGGGCAGCAGGAATAAGGAACCCAAGATCATAGGTTGAAACAGGAAAGAGCCTGGGACCTCCCTCCACTCCCTCAAAAGTAAGATGGCTAAAGACTTGCCCTCACTAAAGACAGTGTGGCTCTTCCTGGGCTGCAGGCTGGGCTATTCTGCCCATCGAGAACACTGTGTACCCCCATCCTGAATAGCTCAGGCTAAAGACAGGAGCCCTGCCACCAGCTAGCAAATCTCATGGGCTAGTCCCAAGAGTCCCCACCCCACAACACCTGTTGCCCACTCCCAAGCCCTGCAGGTCACCTCAGCAGCTGAAGGGGACGCAGGACCACAATGAAATAGAAGGGTTCCATGTTGAGCGTCAGTGCGAGCAGTCCCAGGAAGGCAAAGGCTGTGACCGAGAAATCGAACCTGGGGACCAGGGAAGCCAGTTTGTCAGTGACATTCCAGGTTTCCCTTCCAGTTTCCTCCCGCAGCCCTGCTCTTAGCTGGCTTCCATGGAGACCTGACCAGCCATGGCACACAGTGGAGCTTGCACCTGCCTGGTGTGCTCAGGACAATGCCCTACAGCTGGCTGTCCACCAGCTGCAGCTCAGGTCTGAGAGTCATCCTTGGGCATTCTGACCCCAGGGACCCTTATGTGTGACACGAAAACTTTTAGCCCTTTTGTCTTTTATTCGTGTGTGTGTGTGTGTGTGTGTGTCCCTACTTTGATATGGTGTCTCTGTGTCGCCCAGGCAGAACTTGGACTTCTGGGTTCAAGGGATAAGCCCCCTACCCCACCCTCAGTGGAGATGACAGAGGGGGCTGACCACCCTGATTTCTTCTCGATCTGGCCGGTTGTATTTTGATGACCAAGTCCTCGTGAGTATGGTCTGACTTCACACACAAGTTAACTTTAACTCAAGGAGGGTGCACGGCCTCCAGAGCCACATTGCAGCCAAATGGTCCTTTTCATTTGTTTTGTTTTTGTTTGTTTGTTTTTAAAAGGGTCTCACAGCTGGGTGGTGGTGGTGTATGCTTTTAATCCCAGCACTCAGGAGGCAGAGGCAGGCTCATCTGTGTTGTGTTTGAGGCCAGCCTGGTATACAGACTGAGTTCCAGGACATCCAGGGCTGTTACAGAGAAATCCTGTCGTCTCAAACAAAACAACCAGGGTCTGGCAGAGCCCAGCTAGGTGCAAACATCTAGCTGTTTGCTGGGAGTGACCTTGGACTCCTTGTCTTCCCGCCCCCACCTCCTGAGTGCTGGGATGACAGGCCTGTGCTGCCAGACTGGCTCTGCCCTGGGGCTTCTTTCACTGCCAGCCAAGAGGAGGTGACATCTGTGGCCCTTGTGAAAGAGACAAGGCTTGATGACTAGGAAGAGCCAGCTCTGGGGACAGTGGGGACCAGCGGGGACCAGTGAGGACTAGGTGTGGGTGGCCCCAGAGGCTTTAGGTAAGAGCACCAGAGCAGTCTTGGCTCATAAACAGACAGCACTTGCTGTCCTCTACACCTCCGGGGTGTCCCCAGAGCCACCTGCCCTTCGGGTGTGGGGAAGATGGCTGACACGGACATCTCTGCCTCAGGGTGAACATGTGTTCTACTTACAAGTTCCATCCAGAGGACAGGTACTCCACAGGGCCCAGGCCAGCCACCTTCATGAACAGTTCAACTCCATAAACTAAGACAAGAGGGAGAAGTCAGGGGCTGATCTGGGTTCTCCCCAGCCCACTCAGGGAGAGGGCCAGCTAGAGGCCAGGCTGAGGGTCATGGTAGAGCGCCTTGCGTGACCAGGGGCCAGTAAGAAGTATATGGATTTGAAGCAGGGTAAAGGGGCCAGACTTAACCTCTAAGATGGGGGTCCTTCAAGGCAGCTCTGTTTTAGGGAAGGACCATGAGATGCTGTAGCTGGTTGGGGTGCTCACAGTTAGTTGGGTTAAAGCCAGCAGCTGGGCAGAGCCATGCACCACACTTACTGGTAAGAAACACGAGGTAACTCCAGGGCACGTGCTTTGAGATGAAATTCCCACCTAGGAGACAGAGAGGTGGCAGATGTGGCCGTTTCGGTCAGCCAGGGGCTCTGTGTAAAGCAGGGAGGGGCCCCAGCTGGAGCTTACCTTTCAACGTGAACGTCTCCACCAGGATCCAGACACCATTGACAGCCACCACCAAGTCTGCGATAGAGAAGCCATGAGAGGGAGTCAGAGGGATGGGCCTGCCAGTCTGCAGGGCTATAGGTAGGACCTCCTGGGGGCATGAACAGAGTGGGCCTGGGCCACACGTCATTCCTGGAGGATTCTCACTTCTGCTTAGAGGTCTCACTATGGACCACAATCAATCAGGGAATTCCTTTGCGAAACAGGCGGGAGTGGCTAACGGCACAGTTTATATCCCTATGGCAACTGGGTTCACGTTGTCAGCCCAGATAGCCGGTATGCACGGGTTTGTCTACCTTTAAAATGACTGGGATGCTAAAAGCAGTTGTTCTCGTAGAGGGCCTGGGTTCAGTTCCCAGGACCCAGACGGTGGTTCACAACCATCCGTAACTCCAGTCCCAGGGATCTGACTTCTGACCTCCGAGTGCCCCAGCACACACATGCTACACAGATACAGAGGCAGGCAAAACACTCATAAAATAAAATAACAAAGTAGAGGTAAAACTTTTTTTTCTCTCTCAAAATGACTGCCTGAATATAGCACATCACAGTCTCGGATTTTCTACCCAATCATCTCCCTGCTGGATCCATCCCAGGAGCAGAATCTAGACACAGAGGACATGTGGACACAATGGGAGTCAGAGATTGGCTGAACAGACGGACACGCTTGCCGAGGGGCATGCCATCCACAACCATGTGGTCCCTCTCTGTGTGTTATTGTGCTGTGGTCTCTACTTCTTGACTAGGGGAGCACGATACAGAGGAGGAAGGGTGCCTAACTGTGCTTCTGTATCTAAGGTAGAAGTTATTTGCATATACTTTTTCTTTGGAGACAGGATTTTGTTATGTGGCCTTGACTAGCCTAGTATTTGCTATCCTCAAAATCCTGACGATCCTCCTGCCTCAGCACCTGGAGTGCAGGAGTTACAGGCTTCAGCCACTATGTCCAGTTCTTAGAGCTTTAAATAAATATAAATATTTATATGTCTATATGCTTGTCTATTTATTTCCTATTTATTTGTGGGGACCAGGGTGGGACATGTGTCCCCAGGTGCCTGTGGCAGTCAGAGGACCACTTGTGGGAGCTGGCTTCCTCCTTCCACTGTCTGGGTCCGAGGGAACTGAACTCAGACCTTCAGGTTTGGCAACAAGCTCCATTAGCCCCTGAGCCATCTTGCTGACCCTCTTAAATAGGCTATGGGATTATGATACGAAGTGCAATGAAAGCAGGGAAACCCTAACAATCTGAAATAAAATGAAATAAAGATGGACAGTGTATAGTGGTGTACACCTCTCATCTCTGTACCTAGAAAAGCAGAGGCAGGGGGATTTCTGTGAGTTCCAGACTGGCTGGGGCTACACAGTGAGACCCAGTCTCAGAACAACAACAAAAGACTTGCCAAAGTGCCCACATGGAGAGACAGGAAATTTTTCTGTGGACCTGAAGCACACTGAGCAAACGTGTCCCTGGGTGATAGTCCAGCTGACATGGTCTTGTGGTGGGGCTGCTGCTGGGACCCTGGGACACAAGTCAAGTGCTTGTGCCACAGGAGACACTCCAGTTAAGATTGGGAATCAAGCCGGGCAGTGGTAGTGCATGCCTTTAATCCCAGCACTTGGGAGGCAGAGGCAGGCGGATTTCTGAGTTCGAGGCCAGCCTGGTCTACAGAGTGAGTTCCAGGACAGCCAGGACTACATAGAGAAACCCTGTCTCAAAAAAACCAAAAAAACAAAACAAAAAAAAAAAAAAAAGAGAGAGAGAGACCACCACCGCTCCTCCCTCAGACTGTGGTCTCTGAACATCTGAACATGTGGTCTTCTCAGAAGGAAACAGAGCTCTTCGGCCAGACAGAATCCTCGGGAGCTCAGGGAGCTTCCCTGACGGAGCTGCCACAGCCCCTCTGGCTGCCGAGTATGTGAGATGCACTGGGGACTTGAATCTCCGTGTGATGCTGGGGGAACCAGGGACTTCCTGTGTGCCAGGTGAACACTCTACCACCAAATGCTATTTCTGGCCCCTGAATGTGTTTTCTTCAGATAAGAGCTTGCTGTTGGGCCAGGCTGGCCTTGAACTTGTGCCAATCACTCGCTGATGGGACTACAGTCATGAGCCACCACACTCAGCTTAGTCCCCCTCCCCAACCCCCTGCAACTGTCTTTGATGTTGCTATGGCTACCATGTCAGACCATAATACTTTCTGGACTTCAGCACCAAATTATAAGGACTTAGGTTTGTGGGAAACAGGCAAACCAAAAACAGAGCTGCTTCCTTAACTAAGCACAGTGACGGACTCAGGTCTACTGAGGAAAAGCATCCTGAAACAGGAGGGGTCCTATCAACACTGCGCTCCCAAAGGACTCGGGGCTGCAACAGAGACACTGAACTGAAGTAAGGGATGAGAGGAGAGAGGACCAGGAAGTGACCACATGTGATCACTTCTGTACGTAATTAGCGTGGCGATCCGGGCGTGCCTAGATCTCAGAATTTTGCTGTTTGTTTGTTTGTTTGTCTGTTTTCTAGGAGTACTGGGGACACAACCCAGTGCTTGGCACCTTTCTGATCTCTTCTCTACCTTCAGAGACGAAGGACTCAGGAGGACAGGGGCCCAGAGCTGTGGTGGTTCACACTTACACATGAAATACTGGAAGGCCTTGGAATTCACAAGGATGTTAATCCCTATTTGAAGAGAAGAAAACATAAAGGTTAGAGGGTCCGAGGTGTGCCAGGCACGGGTGTGTACCTTTTTAGCCCTAGCACTCAGCACTCAGGAGGCAGAGGCAGGTGGATCTCTGAGTTCAAGGCCAGCCTGGCCTACAGAGTGAGTTCCAGGACAGCCAGGGATAAGCAGAGAAACCCTGTCTCAAAACAAAACAAACCTAGCCTTCAACTGAAAGGTGACTATCCCATGAAGAACAGTGAGTGTCTGGCTTAGCATTCTTTTACTTGTTTGTTTGTTTGCTTGTTTGTTTTTTGGTTTTTTGAGACAGGGTTTCTCTGTGTAGCCCTGGCTGTCCTGGAGCTCACTCTGTAGACCAGACTGGCCTCGAACTCAGAAATCCACCTGCCTCTGCCTACCAAGTGCTGGGATTAAAGGCATGTGCCACCACTGCCTGGCGTTTGTTTATTTTTGAAATGGAGTTTACTATGTAGTCCAGAATGATTGCAAACTTGCCATCTTCCTGTCTGAGCCTCTGCAGTACGCTGGTTATGGGTGCCTGTCTGGCCCTTGGATTTTGAATTACTGATCAGGGTCCTTCCTGCCCTTTTTCAGCCTGGTGTCACACACTCACCTTTGAAGATGAGGAAGGCTGTCCGGGGAAGCTCGTCAAACCAATGTTGTCTGTTCTTCTTTGCCTGCAGTGCAGAGGACCCAGGGGAGATGAGGGCAGGACCAGGGACCAGAACCTAGCCCAGACCTCCACAGGGGCCAGCCTCCTGCTCCTGCTGCTACACTGGGAATGGTGGTGACATTTAGAGATCTGAATGATAAGTTGGATAGCTGAGGCTAAGGTCCATGTATGGACCACATAGTGCTCATCTCTCTGAGAAGCCTTGGGAAGGCTGGGTCATGGGGTCTGGATTCTGGCTGCGGCTGAGGTACATGCACCATTGAAGGCTGAGCCCTCCCCACCTGCTGTGTGGTGACGCAGGGACACTCACCTTCCACTGTAGAGCAGCAACTTCGTAAATGTCATAGAAGTCCTTCAGGCTACCACAAGAAAAGTGAGAGGACGGTCACACGTGTGACACTCACCCTCTGCTCTCCCCCACCTGTCTAGGGCTGTCTTTCACAGGAAGATGGAAACCTAGCCCTGAGCCAGGGCCCTCACCGATGCCTGATTGCCTCTGGGGCTAGGATGACTCAGTCCACAGTGACCCCCCCACAGAGGCTGCCCCTGAGGGGAAGAGAGGGCTCCGGGGACTGACAGAATAGCAATCTCGCTCATTGCCCTCACTGTCATAGCACGGGAACCCAGCTGAGAGAGCAGCACCCTTGTGTTCAAGAGAGCCTCAAGGCCAGCACTGAAACCAGACATCTCTCCTGCTCAGGCCCTCCAAGCTTCGGTGCGCACATGCATGCATGTGTGTGTGGGGGGGGGGGGACGCTTTCCTTTAGGTCGGAGGACAACATTTAGGGGTTAACTCTATCCTTCCACCATGTGGGTCCCAGGAATGACACTCAAGTCATCAGGCTTGGCAAAGGCGCTTTGACCTGCTGGACCATCTCACCCTTTCCTGTATCATCACCATCATTGACAAGATCCGAAATAGTCCAAGCTGGCCTCACACTCTCTACATAGCTGAGGGTGGCATTAAGTTTGTGACCCTCCTGCCTCAGGCCATCATACCCAGCCTTAGACATTTTCTTTCAACCAAACCGGGCTGAAACTATTGTTTGGCTTCTGTGGCTTGTTAGGAGATTACCAAAGAACATGACCTTGCGAGAGTCGTGGTGTAATCTGCATCTCTCAAAGGCCTCCCTACTATGCCGCCCACCTCCTAAGGCCCGGAGCTGCTCCACTACAGGACAGGAAGTTCTGGCCGAGCTGTCCCGATGTGGCACCTGGCTCTTACCTGAGCAGAGGTGTGTTGCTCTGATTCAGGGCCTTGAAAGTCAGGAAGCGCTCTCGAGCACTCATCCGGGGCTTGTAGAAGCGCATCAAGCCTTCAAACTGTGTGTAGGAGATGCCAGCTGGCCTCTGCGGGAGAAGGAAGGCGGTGCGGTAGGACAGGGGGACACAGTGAGGACAAAGGTGGCATCTGCATTTCTCCCATGGACAGTGTGGCAGCCACAGGGTCACTAGCTCTGCCAAGCCAGAATGTTCTTTGGTAGGGAGAGAGAAGGAAGTCCCTCTCCATGACCCTGCCCCCACTGTCCTACCCGTTGGCTGACGAGCAGGCGGTAAGCATGCTGGATGGCGGTCCGCTTGTGCAGCAGCAAAGACTTGAACTTGTGCTTTTCGATGTCGTTGAAGGTGTCGAACACCACGGCCAGGAGCTGTAAAGGACAAACAAGGAGTCCTTGGCTGCCCTAAGTGAGCCTGAAGGATCCAGAGGTCGCGCTCTGTCCCCATACAGGGGTTTCATCTGGCTTCCCCTGAGTGGGGGATGACTGAGGAGACCCTCAGTGGGCTGTACTGCCCAGGACAGGGACTTGACAGCCAAGGACATGAACTGCTGTCCTTTGTACATTTCTCTCCTGAAGACACTATTGCTGGGTTTTCCTCAGGACCCTCTCCCGCTCCCCTAGCTCCAGAGGACAGGCCAGGGGAAGAGGCCATATGGACTTCGACCCTGGGGCCTCCTCCTTCTTCTCCTCTTTCTCCTCCTTCCAGGGTTATTTTTCCTGTGAGTCACAGCTTCATGTGAGGCTCCAGGAATAGCGGGAAGGAGAAAACCTGCATGCCAGGAGGGAACATTCTAGAACTGCCCCAGAGCAAGATCAGTTTATTAATGAGGGGGACGGAGGGTGGGGAAGATCTGAGAGACACTCTGTCTTTCAAAGCTGTTCTGTGTGAGTGCTCCAGTTCCTTCTAAGGCCTCTCAGATCGACACACAGACAGACAGACAGACAGACAGACACACACACACACACACACACACACACACACACACACACACACACA